ATATATATATATATATATATATATATTGTTAGATTGTTTACAACCTTTGTTCAACCTCATTTGGAAGTGTGCATCTGTTTGGAATCCTTTTCAAAAAAAAGACATAAGGGCTCTAGAACTAAACTTGTTCCAGCAATAAGAAATTTAGATTACAAAGCCCACCTAACTTATCTCAATCTACAAACTCTAGAACAAAGAAGGCAACAAGGGAACATGATACAATATTTTAAAGCATTCAAGGAGTTTAATGAAGTAAATTTGTTTCATATCAATGCTATACCACATTCCTATTTTGCACAAGGACCTGTAAGTAATGTTAGAGACTCTAAATTGAGACCGTCAAGACAAATCACAAGAAACCAAGCTAGATATTACATCTTTACAAACAGGATTGTATTGTTATGATTGTGTATGATATACAGGATTGTATTGTTAAGGAATAAGTTGCCAAACCAAGTTATTGATTCAAGAAGTGTCAACGAGTTCAAAAATCGATATGAAAAGTTCATTGTCACAGAATGGACATCTTCTAAAGCTGTTAGACAGACTTCATGAGAAATTTATTTTTTTCTCATTGCAGATTATTGCATTATATTGTTATATTATTATACACACACACACACACACACACACACACACACACACACACACACACACACACACAAACACACACACATATATATATATATATATATATATATTTTTTTTTTAAACATCTTCGCTTCCAACAAGGCTGCAAGCAACCACTAATTAGTGTTGGAAGTTACTGGAAGAGAAAAGATGAAGATTGTAGAGCAAGATAATGATTGACAGACGACTTAAAAGATTGCAAATTATATGAATAGATATATAACATATAATAATCAGAAAATATATAATAATCAGGAAAGCAAGATGAAGGAAGCGAATTCCAAAGAACTGATGTTCGAGGAAAAAAACTAGACGAGTAAGAGTTTTTGGAGCACTTAGGAACAGTAACAGAAAAAGGATGAGACTTAACTGAATGACAAGTAACACGAGAATGGATTTTAGTAGATGGCACAAGAGACGCTAGCTCTTTAGAGCAGTGCCCATTATAGTATTTGTAAAAAAGAGAAAGAGAAGCAACATTACGACGATGTGACAGAGGTTGAAGGTTGGCTGCAAGAGCAGGTCCAACTGTGTTTACAATGCGCTTTTGCACCTTGTCTAAAAGAGAAAGGGCATCATTAGAAGATCCACCCCAGATATGGCAACAGTATTCCATACAAGGCCGGATTTGAGATTTATAGAGATAGAGAATAGAATCCAGAGTAAGAAAGTGTTGAGCTCTATAAAGAGAAGCAACTTTAGCAGATGCTAATTTTGCAACGGATTTGATATAAGAAAGATCAGAAGTAAGAGTTAATCCAAAAAGATGAAGGGTAGGAGACTCATCGAGTACAATACCGTTCATAAATATAGGAAGGTCTAAAATATTGCAATAACAATTGGCTGAAAAAAACTGAGTTTTATCTGAATTAAAGTTCACCAGTCACTGTGAGCCCCATGTTGTAGCAAAAGTGAGATCCTTTTCAAGCTCGGATGCCCCCTGCAAGCAATCAGAGGGAGTTGGCTTCTTATCATGACAAGAATAAATGGTAGTATCATCAGCGAACAATGCCACCTTAGATGTGAGAATATCTGGAAGATCGTTTATGTAAATTAAAAAGAGTATAGGGCCAAGGATTGAACCTTGAGGAACTCCTGAGGTTACAGAATAAGAAGAAGAGTGCTGTCCATCGAGGACAACTTTTATACTACGATTGGAAAGGAAGGATTCAATAATCTTAAAGATGTTTCCAGATTAGGGCTTGCAATCCGTCCGGGATCCCGGATCCTGAGATCCCGGGATCCCGGACATTTTTTGGTCTCGAAAATCCCGGGATTCTAAACACAAAATCCCGGGATTTTCGGGATTATAGCAGGATTGAACTAATTAAATTATTTTGTAAAACAAAATGTTCAAAGTTGGTAACTATACTGAATTATAACGAGTTATATAATGCTGCTTTGCAGGTTTATCCTGTTTATGCTTTATCCTTACGATAAATGGAACAAATTTTTGAATAGACCATGGAGTTCGGAATTTTATCATTGAAAAAAGTTTCACAAACACAAATTAAGGCAGGTTTGTTTGACTATTGTATAAAAAACAATCGTTAAGTTTGTTGGCATGACTTCTCGCGTTAAAAATATAAATTTTAAAATTGTTGAGCGAATTTGTGGTTAAGTGATTGCTTGAGTTTATTAAGTCGTTTTGTTCATTTCAAAAATTATTTTTAGAGAATGAAAAAAATAAAAATGAACAAGTAATAAAAAAAAAATTATATCTAAAAAAATTTAGTGATTATTACATAACAATTCCCTTTGGGATATTTCTAGCGATTTGTATAATTATATTTGTACAATTATTAGTTATTGCAACATTATAATGCCCTTGACAATTAATTCCGCTTGAAGGAATTCTAGTGTGAATACATACAAAATTTGACTGTGGAATGAATCGTTTTGAACGTTTTGAACTGATAACCTTTTTAACATTAAAAATCTATTCAAAATGTTCATTAAAGTTTTTTAGTAATACGAGTGATTGTGCTTATCAACCGCTTTATGAAAATAAAAATAAATAAATAAATATTATATAAAATCGCTATTAAAAATATTACCTATTGCACAGTTTTTAATCGTACAAAATTAAAATTTCCAGTTTATTACTCGCTGACTTTTTTTAAAAAAAAAAAAATATTTGAAAAACTTTAAATTACATATTTGAGAAAGAAAAAATCAAATATTAGCATACTTTATAATCTTTTTTAAATGTTTAGTTAAAATGTTTTTTATTCGTTTAGTATAGACAAAAAGTGTCAAACGTAAACAAATGTTTTTACATTTTAAAAAACGAAACATTCTAAAACACTTTTAAATAATAACATTTCTACATTAACGATTTAAAGTAGATTTGCGGTAATTAAGTAAATTAGTGCAGTTAATGTCGATAAATATGAAAAGCAAATAAAAAGAATTTAATGACGTCAAAAACCACATCGTGCTTATGCGTCGCGCAGTTTTTATTCATCACAAGGCCTGATATATATATATATATATATACACAGCATTAGATACATACATATCCATATATTAAAAACATACATGTATACATTGTATATATGTATATATATATATATATATATATATATATATATATATATATATATATATATATATATATATATATATATATATATATATAATATATATATATATATACAATGCTGTATTTAAATATGTATGTATATAATATATAGATATGTATCTAATGCTGCATTTATTTAGATAAATTCAGCATTATATAAGTAAGTTGCTGTTATAATTTACAGCTTATATATTATAATTTAAAGTTTAAGTTGCACTAATATTGCAATGAGCAAGTAACATATTTAAAACTATTATGATATTACTTTTAGTAATTGTTTTTACTTAACATGATACTTAAAAAAGTAGGAGTAAAAAAGTAAAAACGCAAATATTTCATTATTGAATACTTTAATTAGTTTTAGAAAACTATTTAATACATTCATGCTGACGATAAAATACAGGTTATATTTAAAGAGTATTGAATTGTTATTGTAAAAAGCTATAAAAAAACAATAAAACAAACTGTAATGTTGTTTTGACAAGATAAAGAGGTTATGTTAATATAAAACAACTTTGTGACACTGTTTTGTACAGTTTATAACATGTTTAAAACAAAAACAACTTTTATTACTTTTGTACAGTTTATAACATGTTTAAAATAAAAACAACTTTGTGACACAGTTTTGTTTATAACATGTTTAAAATAAAAAGAAGTATATTGAATTGTTCTAATTAATAAACAAAAACTTTAAGCTTCGTATTTATGCAAAAAACATGCTTATAGACCGAAGGAGCCTATAATTTATAGACTAAACAAGTAAGATCAAAGCAAAAAAAATATTAGACAACATGTTTTTTATAATTTATTGTTTCTAGATCTAGCTTACTATTAAAAATTAAAGTATAATTAATTTTTTCATTCAAATGGTTTTTTTGTAAGTTGATCTAAGTATAACTTAAAACATTATTGGCTTCCATGCAGAGATATAAAGTAATTTAAATTAAAAAGCACTTTGAATGCTGAATGAAAATCTCTGCGCAATAAAGTAAATGATCATACTACTATTTAAAAGATAAACTTGACGTACATTATTTTTATTAATATTATTTTACTAATACTTTAATTTATATATATATATATATATATATATATATATATATATATATATATATATATATATATATATTTGTAATAATATATAATAAACATATATATTCGTAATAATAAACATATAAATTCGTAATATATATATATATATATATATATATATATATATATATATATATATATATATATATATATATATAAATACATATGTATGTATGTATATATATATATATATATATATATATATATATATATATATATATATATATATATATATATATATATACATACATATATATATATATATATATATACATATATATATATATATATATATATATATACATATATATATATATATATATATATATATATATATATATATATATATATATATATATATATATATATATATATATATATATTATTACAAATTTTTATGTCACTATAAAATTCTGGTTCTTTTGAGACCCAGGTTGATATACTTTTGAAGAAAAAAAAATTCACTGATATGTGGGAGCCAGTCAGGATTGCTATTTATGGAATTTAATGTTGATAACATCTATAACATCTTGAATTTCAAATTAAAATTTTTTATCAAGTTGTTTTATGTAACTATATTTACCTTGTCTTAGACAAGTATAAAATTTTTAAAGTATAAAAATAAAACTCATAATACAAGTAAATAAAAAATAATTGAAATATTATGACAAAAAATAAATAAATAAATACATACTCATATGGATAACGTGTGGTAAATAGAACTCGAAGATCAACCCTGGCATGAACATCCTTTCCCACAACACTTTGTAATGGTGTTAATTTCAAAACAATTTCTGGAGATCCATTGCCCTAATAATCAGAGTAAAATAATTTAAACAGTTTAATTTATTTTTTTATTTTTTTAATAATACACTATACAAATTAACCCGGTCATAATATTTAAAAAAAATGTTTTCCTTAATAAAATGAGAAATAAGGGGGGAATTATTTAAAAAAACATTTATAATGCTTTTTTGATGCCAAATTTAATAAATCTACTTAAAATGCTAAAACATGAATGGAACATGTTTAAGAATTAATAAAAAAAATTAACTAATATAACCCAATTTTGGGGCCCAATAAGTATTAAACTTGATTTATAGGCTCTTAAGAAAAAGAAAAAAAAAAATTATGTTATATTTAAGGAAGTCTGACACATAAAAATTAGCAGCTAACACAGCTCCCCAAGTTCATTTTAGGAGAGCTTTTCTCCGTTCTTGTGCTCATTAATTCCCGCCAAGGCCTACTGATTTGTTTTTATATAAAAACTACTCTTAATTTCTTAATACAAGGAGGGGGGGGGAATAAAAGGCAGGGTGGGAAGTTTAATAAATAGGGGGTTTAAACAAAGAGAGGAATTTTTTTAAGGGGAAATTTTTTTTATCCCAATTTTGGGGCCCAATAAGTATTAAATTTGATTTATAGACTCTTAAGAAAAAGAAAAAAAACAATTATGTTATATTTAAGGAAGTCTGACACATGAAAATTAATGACCATAACTACTGAAAAAACACATCCTGATTCAGGTCTCGGGGGAAGCTATCGTCCACACTCCCCTAAAACGGTTTACAGGCTATTACAACAGCAATTTACAGGTATCGCAAAATTATTGCTTTTCTCACGAAAGTATAAATATTGTTGTAACTAAAATAAAAAACATTATGTCATTAAAAAAAAATTAATTGCATAATATACTGCAATGCTTTTTAAAAAGCATGGTTGTTGCAACAACAAAAAATTAAAATTTCAAAATAGCACCGATTTAAATTAGAAGCAGCTCACACAGCTCCCCAAGTTCATTTTAGGAGAATAAAAGAGGGGGAATAAAAGGCAGAGTGGGAAGTTTAATAAATGGGGGGTTTAAATAAAAAGAGGAATTTTTTTATGTTGCAATATACGTAAAAGGAGGAGGAGGGAGGATTTTATTATGTTACAATATTAATATTTTTTATAAAAAATTTCACTTTTTTGAATCCAAACTAATACTTTTTACAAAACACGCATAAAATTATTTAATTCTAACGTGGCTTGCAGTCAAATACTCATTTTCTGTTTTGTAATAATTTCAATAGGATTTAATATGTTGATATAAGTTTTATACTTTGGTAACAAATAAACCAAAAGCTAATTTTCAACCAATCGAAATTTACTTGGTTGTCGATTTTTAAAGCCTATTTAGACTGAAAGTTTTTTGTTTTAATCAGTGACTGAAATAATTATTTACTAATTTTTAAGACTAATTGTCACTGATTTTGTTGTTGTTGTTGTTGTTGTTGTTGTTGTTGTTGTTGTTGATGATGATAACAAGTAAAAATTAATAAACGGATGGGTCTCAATAAGCTTGGTGTGGGTGGGAAAATTTTCTAAAATTTATTAAACGCCCATGCCCCCCTTTTAATAAGGACTTAAGAGTAAGTGTGATACAGATGTGTATTTGTTTATTAAATTTTGGCAGTTATATAATTCAGGGCTCAAATTAACACAAAAAAGTCTAACAGCAAAAATTGAAAAAAAAAATTAATATCTGTTCCCCCTTCTGCCACTTTGTGGTTTAGGGGTTGTGTTAGTACAAAATTGTTTCTTTTGCACATTAGTTTGTAATTGGTATTTTTTTAACATGATATCTCATAATATTCTTGTTAAGCAGGGTTTGTAAAAGCTCAGGTTACTGTTATAATTTACAACTTATGTTATTTTATTATATTTTAATAAAGTTAATTTAAAGCTTTAAGCTGCAGTTATAGTCTGCAAGTTATGTATCGAAGTAACGTATTTAACGCTCTAACCATAATAATTTTAGTAATTGTTTTTACTTAACATTATACTAAAAAAAGTAAAGTAAAAACACAAATATTACAATACTTACACCATCATAAAAATAACTTATACCTTTCAAATATTAATCGAACAAATTGATTGTGTTACTAAAATTTAAATAAAGTTTACTTTTGTCAAATGAGAATTCAATTTTTTTAATATTTTTCAATTTTTGCTTGAGAAAAATCATTACTCTTATTAGGTTGTCAATGATGGTTAAATGGTGATCTGTATGAAGTATAGTTCTAGAGTCAAGAATCATTTTAAGTGATTATTTTTTCTTGATGTTATAAAGTACAAAGATAGTGAAGTCAATTGCAAAATCCTGCCAACATTTCCTTTAAAACAGCACAGAGACTACAAGCTTATAAAAATAAGCCCAAAATAAGTTTCAAGCAACAATGCACTAAAATAAAAGACTTATAAGGATATTTAAACCAATTTATGACTAAAACCAATTGCTTAAATAGAACTTTTTGATGCTTTCAAAATAACTCTTTCATGCCTTGTGCAAACTCCAAATTTAAGTACATTTAGGCATATGTCAAATGAGAATGTTTTATAAAAAATTGCTAAAATTTAAAAAACTGTCAATGAATATTATATTGAGTCATTGCCCTCAAATTTAGGATAACTGGGGTGTTCCTTTTGGGGTATTTTGTTCTTATGCTCCAAGAGGCATTTCTCATGGGGCTCAGTGATAAGGCTAATTTATGCTTTCTTCTTGTTACAGCCATTTATAAAGGCTGTAGGCTGCTGCCCGGAGGAACAAAACAAAACCACTATATCTTATTTGGAAAAGAGGTGTTTAATTTTCAAGTAAAACTAAAGGCATGTTAACATTATTAAAAAAATCAAGAACCATGAACTTACTATTCAAAAATCTAAGATCTCAATATGGAGGACAAAAGTCATCCCAAAGTCGTTTGTCAGGTTAAAGTGCTGGCAGGAACAAGACCAATTTGTGGAAAGATTATGTCTACACCAAAGACCAATTACAGCTCTCTGAGGACTTGCATCAAGTCCTTTAATTTAGATGAGGCCAGAGCAGTTGTTTTATTTGAGGCAGCATGGGATCAAAAAAGACTAGATGATACTAAGAAACTAGATAAACTTTACAACTGAGTGGAGAAGAGGATCTCTGAATTCAGATTCAACTCTGAAACTGATGTTGTTGATTCATCAGATAAGATCCAATTTTAATTAAACTAAATTTGACTTTTAAATAAAACAACAACCTTGACAAGATTTAGTATAAATGAAGGGCTCAGCAGAAAAGTGGTCTAAGCCACAATTACTTCATTTTTAGTAAACTGTAAAAGATTCAAGGATCTATTTAAAAATAACAGGAGAAAGTATCATTATCAGAAGGATAGTATTTATTATAAAGACAGGTGAAAAATACACTAGTATATCTACTAAAAAATTAAGACACTATCTTACTGTGCTCCGCAATAACAAAAAGGTTAGGCAGCTTTGCCTCTTCAAATTTTTGTTAATATTGTTAATAGAGTTGGCTAAACAGATGTTTTGTCTATGACTTGTTATGATTCTTTTATATATGTAGCATGCACTAATTTATATCTTCGTCACCAGAACCATCTTTTAAACCCAAATCAGTTGCCTCCTCGTCACCTTTAAGAAATAATAGGAATGATGGACAAGTAGTATAAATTGTATTAGTTCAAAAAGATCAATTAACTTTTCTTTTGTGAGTTCTCTACCATTGGGCTACTAGGACTCAAGTTGAACATTGATAGTGCCAGATGGCCATCCACGATTTCGTATTGTTACGTCCAGCAACATGAATCTGTCACATTTTATATGTGTTTCTTTCATTTGAAATGAGCGTGGTGATCCTTTTTCCATTTTTACCCAGCATGTCTTTAGCCATGAAACTTTTTTGCCAATTATTAATTTTTTTCTATTGGTTATCCCACTCTCCAATGATTTTCTACTAAGAAATTCATGGGTCTCCATTTTTCTTACAATAAATTTTGGGGTTCCCTTCTTTGCATTTTTAATAAGATCTATCCAATGATCTGGAACAAATATTTTGGTCCTTCACTTTTTTTGGCTTTTTCAATCATAGCAAAGCTTCGGTCGCAGGTGCCCTGGTATAAAAAATTTTTGTTCAATGGTTTATGATGGAGATTTGTGCAAAATATATTGTAACATAAGAGACATTTTTATAATACAATTTTGTCCATCACAACTATCACTACACAATATTAAATGGGTCACAGTTTCTGGTATGTGTCAAAAAACATGCTCAAGGATACACAAACCATTCCGAACAAGCACCCAGAGGTATTCTTGAGTACCTCTGGATGCTTCTTTCTCACTCCATACATACATAAATCCTGTCTTTAAGTTTTCATCATGGATTCCAAGATTGTAAGTCCATATTTGCCTTTTATAGTAGGCTATTCCTGTACTATGCAATGGTGTCGGTAGAGTTTTTTGTAAGTCAAAAACTTACAAACTTGTTTGGATTTGTATGTGCATCTAGTCTATCTTCTTTTATTTTTTCTTTTGCCTTTTCAGCCATCTGTTGATGAATAATAAGGTTGCTCCTAACAGTGTTCTTTTCTTCACCCTCTGAAAGGCACCTAATTTTATTGTTAAATATATCACATTTTTGACATGTATCTGATTGTGGATGGTGAAAATATAAATTGAATTTTGTATTGAATATGTGTCGAAATACAAAAATTGAAAGTGGGGTATGATCATTTTCATTGCAATTGCAAACATATTTCTCGTAGATTGTTGACACTTGTAAAGTTGGAGGTAAATAATTTCTATACAGCTATAAAGGGATCAGTACATTGGAAATAAGCAAATAAATCTTTGAAAATATTCGGTTTTTTCATCACTACTTTTATTTTGTGGAGCCAATTTACCCCTGTGGTCTTCAATAGGTGTACCACCGTTTCCTTGCTAAAATATTTGTTATTGTCCAATCAGAGATCTGCAATGTTCCTATGAAGTAAGTTTTGCAAATCTTTTTAACATTTCCACATGCATCAGTTAGTTTATAAGAACAACTATTTGCCCTACGGGAGTTATTTGATGTAGTATACGCCCTGTATTTTTCTTTTACATCAACAGAACCCATTACAAAGGCATTTTTATTTTACAGAATATTTCTTTTGTGTAGTTCTGGATGGACAACTCGCATACAACTATGTCTGTCTTCTTTCTTCTTCTCAAAAGAGACTGGGTTTCTTCTAGTACTTCCTAGGAGAAGCTGTCATTCTCTCCTACTTCTCCAACAAGGTTAACATTTGAATCTGTAATGAAAATGTTAGGTAAAAATTATTTTCTAATAAGAAAAGAATTCTTAACAAAACAAACTAAATGGCCCTAGCTAATCTAATGCTAGGCCTAACACCAATGTAAACAATTGGTCCTAGGCCATATCAATAGGACTTGAAAATTTTTTTATAAGCCTAACTGTTTTCAGACAAATTGTATATACCATCAACTTTAATTAGATTTAATTAATTAGTTAATATAGATATAGATTTTGCATTTTTTTAACATATTGATCCCCAATAATTGAATCTGCAATAAAAAAGTGCATGTCAGTTTTGGAAAAACTAGAAGAGGAAAACATGTCTAAACAACATTGAGGCTAGAAACTAAATTATTGAATGATAAACTCAATAAAAATTATATCTTGATGCTGCATTAATTATATACTTTCACTAATATCATCCGCTAAAGAAGGATTATATATACATACTTTTTATATATACATACTAATTATATACATACTTTCGCTAATATCATCCGCTAAAGAAGGGTTGTTATCTGCACCTGAACCATCACAATCACTTTTCATTATTAAGTCTTCCAAATCTGAACTGTTCATTTTCGCCATGTTAATTGTGGGATAGGCAACTTTTCCACAATTCAAATTTTATTTTTCTGTTAAAGTAAATATGATCATAGATAGCAGCACTGTATTAATATCAAAACTATTATTCTTCCAGCAAATTGTCAAGCACAATGTCAGGTCATCAGTCCAGTTAAAATTTGATTTGGTTGTAATGAGGTTCTTAGCATGCAGTAATCTTTTCTTTAACCATATCATTGAGACAGCATTTCAAGATTTTGTCAAATATTTGGATCCAAAGCTCCACAAGAAGTTAGCCAGAATTATAATTAGATCAAAGCTTCTGCTTTTTTATCGATTGGTTAAGGAGGCTAATTTAGGTAACCAATAAGATTGTAACAGGTCTAAAAGATAGTGCTGCAAGAGGTGTATCTTTAAAGATAAAAGAAAAGTTGTACACCACATGTGTCTAGAGTATTTTGATTTAATGCAATAAAACATGGGCAATAAAAATTGATAATATCAATCGCCTTGAAGAAACAAAAAAAAGATGATGATTAGATGGATGTGTGGTATGACTTTAAATAATCAGGAAGAAAAAAATGATCTTAGACAAAGAATAGAAATAGTGAGTTTATTTATTCAAACGTGTGGTTTGAACCAGATTAGATGGGTATCAGATAACAATATCTTTAACTTAAAAAATTATGTATAATGAATAATTAGTAAATTTTATCAATCTTTTCGTTATATTAACAAAATTAAAGAAATACAGCAAGAACAGCTCACATGTTTTCACATTTAAAAAACTACCTCAGAATAGTTTACGTAATCATCCATATATATTGCTTGTATAGCTTCTATTTCCTCAGTTTGCATTTCACGCCAATCTTCGCTATTCATTCTTTTTTAAATAATTATACTATACTTTTTATACAATAATTTTATACATATTCTTTTATTAAACCAATGCTAAATCAATACGGCGGATAGGTATATTATGTTAATGAAGTCATAAGAAAAACTAAGACTACGATATAAATATAAATTTGTATTCCTTGTAAATATAATAACTTTTCCCTGCATTACAGGTAGTACACAGTAGCATGTTTTGATTACTAGACTTAGTTTCAATATTCGTATTTTTTAAATGTCATTTATGGCTATGCTTTAATAACAAATCGCCTTTAACTCGTTAAGAAAACTTTAACTCGATTTAAAAAAACACAATTCATCCGAAAACTCGAAAAATGTTTTATTTAAAGAAATCGCAATTGTTCAAAAACCTGTTTATTTTTGCTACAAAAATTTAATACTCGCCTTTTGACTAAATTATTTGCGAAAAAATTCTATATATCGGTTGGGTTAATGTTAGCAGCAATTATTCACAAGTTCACTTGAGTATTTTTAAACTGGCTACTAATGTTTGTTTTTTTTTAACTTTAAAATTTTCTCTAAATCTAAAATTCTCAATATAATAATTCCCTTTAAAAAATTTTAAACCAGTGCAGTACGAGCTTTTTACTCCCGCGTTTTTTTTTTACTTCCGATCTCATTTTTTTATTATTATTATTTTTATTTGAATTTTCATGCTATATTTTTCTATACAATGCTCTTATATCCAAAGATATTATTGGCTTAGCATAAAAACAACCACAAATAGTCATTAAGACTAATCCAAAGTAGCGTCCGTTATTGACCAACCTTTTTGCGTACCGAAGAAACTCAAGCGCTGAATTGGCGGTGGCAGGATTTCAACTCGTATCGTTCAACAGTCTGGGTTTTAACTTTTCGTTTGACGCTCTAACCAACTGAGCTATCCAGCCACTAGATTTTTAATCCTAATAACTAATTTTAATAAAATTTATCATATTAAATATTTACTTCCATTATGAGATCATATTAAATTTTTACTTCCATTATGAGATTTTCACTCCCGTAAAATATTTTGAGGCAAAATGTATTTTACGACTTAAAGATTGTGATGTATTTTGACAATATTTTTTAACATTTAAAAGATTGTGGCTCTTTGGCTTGTAAAGAAGCGATTCCGTTTAATGTGATCATTATTAAAAAGTTTTGTTGCGATTAAATCAATTGACAAAATGTTAGGCATTATTATTAAACAAAATGTCGCCATTGGACGCATTAACCTAACTCTTTGTTTGAAACTTCATAGAACGAATATATATAAATATATATAAAAAAAAACTGTTTATAAACTATAAAAATAATAAAACTGCTTTTTTAGACCAGTTAATTTTATTAAACTGACAATGAAAATGAACACGAGTCAGTTTTGCTAAAATTTTCTAACCGTATGTGCAACGAGATAGACGAGGAAATTTTGAGACATTTAAATATTGCATAAAGATTATTTATTAAGATGCATGATAGTTTGTGATAGTAAATGCGACATAGGGAAATGACGAGGATATAATAGAATGTGTTTCATTTATGGGGGAGGGGAGATATCCATATATATAAACAGTAAATATGAAACAAAAATAAGCAAAATTACAATAATTGAAATTAAACAACAATAGTTGTTTAAATATTAATATCTAAAATTCGTGAAATAAATACATAAGTAAATGTACTAGATTTTCAACTGTTAACCACAGCATCAAAGTGGATTCCAGTTGAGGTGTCTAGAAATATAGAACAATCACTTAACTTATTAAGCCGTAAACTGCATGGGAGGTCATCCATTTTGTTTTCGCATTATATTTGCTGTGTACTAGGATATCTACCTCAATAAATGAAGTACATCCAATTGTCTCCATGTTAAATGATTTTGACGTTCTACTACCATTTGCTTGTGGATGATATGCACTCGTCATATATTGATGAGTCGCAGTTTTCTTGTGAAGTTTATTGAGTAGCTCATTTACAAATACACAACCTTGATTGTTAATCTGTATTTCAAAACAGCAGTGCCCACAGGCTTGTTTATACAAGAATAATGCCACAAAATTTGCGGTTTTATCAAAAAAAGGTTTAGCCTCTACCCATTTACTGAAATAATCTACTAGCAAAATCAGATGTTTATTACCATTCACTTCTGGCTGTTGAGTCAAATTGATCCCAACCTGTTTCATATTACCTTTTAGAATTCATCTGCTTTTTAATAATGATTTAACTTGAAGTTTCTTGTTTTTTACTTTTTTACAGTTATCACACTCTGAAACATAGATGGTAATGTCTTTCACCATTCCAAATCAAAAAAAATTTTAATTTGTTTTGTTGTTTAATTGATCTAGCCTATGTGGCCAGATAAATGCATTAGCCTCATTAGAAACATCATTACCATCATGCGCAGACTTAGTTATATGGTGTTACTCTTCCTTACACCAAATAACCTTTTTCTATAAAAAATTTAAAATATTTTCATTTATAGTATTGATTTTGAAATCGGCCAAATAAACTTTGCTAAATTAGAAAAGAATTGGAAAATTGGAAACATGATGTAAATATAAGTAACGTGATTTAGGTCTGTTGGAAATTTTTCTAAAGGTATCTACACTGTATAAAAGACAATTTTATAAATTCTAAAATTAATAATTTTATAGAACTATCTTATATACTGTGTACATACCTTTAGAACATGTATTTGTACATATACATGTATAGAACGTGTATTTAACTAGTTAAATACATAGCTTAGTTACCAAATGAACATAAAAATTCATTGTTTTTATGTTTACTTGGTTTTAAATGGTTTTATCTCAGAACACCGTCATATTGGAATTAGCATTTAAAGAGTAGGTTCTCCATTTCCAAACAACCACAAACGTTTATATGCTTCGATTCCCTGGATTACGAGTACAACGCTTTAACTACTGCGCTACGGCTGCTAAAGTGGCTTTATAATCATGTAAAACACGACAAATAAATACATACATAAAATATGTAATAACCTGTTTGCCTATTGCATTCATCCCCTTTCTCTGCCCCCGAAGAAAGTTATAATCAAGTTATAGTCGGTATTTTTATATAGTCGGCAGTTTAAACTCATTTGGCAATAAGGGAGTTTTGAGGATTTTTTTTTAATTTTAAGAAAACAGTCGATTCTTTTTCAAAATATACCTCTTCCATCCCGACCCCTCTAATATTATTATAAAAACTAATATTCAAGAACTTTAAAAAATTCTTTGAAAGCTACCTAACTGTGTAATGGGCATTACCCATTTATAAATTTATCCTAAATCATCACCCATTTATAAATTTATCCTAAAGCTAGTATAAAAAACTTTTATTATATAACTTACTTACCATATTGCCAGGTTTATCTAGATGATACTACTCATTATCTTCAATTACAAATGGCTTCTTCAAAAATTCGATTTATCACCTTTACTAATACCTGTCTTCAAATATATTTGGTGTCTTTAAATATACATTTAAAAAAAAAAATTATAAACTTCAGCATCTTTAATATGGATCGTTAAGTTTTTAAAAAAATATATGCCACTGCATTATTAGATTATAAAGGTTTCAATTTTTTTTATTTAGTTACTCGCTTCTTCATAGCTTTTCAAGAAACCGTAGTAATTAAAACGTTTAAAAGTATTCACAATATACAACGCGATTTGGTTGCAAAAATACATTTTGCTGCAAAATATTTATGGAAGTAAAAATCTCATAATGAGAGTAAAAATTTAATATTTACTGAGGAGTAAAAATTAATTATGCGATTTTTAGTGGGAGTAAAAGTTAAATATGAGATTTTTACAAGAGAGAAAAAAAAAGGTCGAGTATAAATCTCACACTACACCGGTGTAGTAAATTTTTTCTCCCGCGTTTTAAATATTAGTTTCATCGCCAGATTTGTAAATAGGCATTATTTTTGCAATTTTTAATAAATCTGGAATATGACTTGATTTAATATTATAACGATTCACAATCTGTATTGTTTACATTACAAAATACAAAAACGAGCAATTCGCTTGATATTAAATGCAAATAAATACGCTAGTGCCAGACCACTACTAAGAGAAATTGGAGTGCCTAATGTCTATGAAATAAATATTCTTAATATACTTATTTTCATGTTCAAGTTTAAAAATGGTATGCTACCAAGCATTTTCCAAACTTATTTTTTTTCTTTAAACCACAAATACGAAACTAAATACTCAACAAATAATTTTATTATACCAAAAACATTATCAAAGCAAGCTGATTTTTCGATATCTTGCCGAGGGCCGCGGTTATGGAACTTGCTTTTAACAAGTAATATAAAAACTTTAAATTCAACTCAACATTTTAAACGTGCAACAAAACAACACTTATTTGGTTTTGACACAAAGCAATTACTATCGTATTGTTAAAAACTTTTGGTAATCTTAGTTATTTAATGTCTTATAAATTGACTCAACATCACAATTATATTGTATGGTACTTAGAACATGTATGATATTATTTTATTTTACAATAATAACGTAATTTGTAAATGCAATATTTATTATATCTTACGCAATTTGCAGATGGAATGTAATACAGATTTATTTGATTTGTATGTATATATGAACGGACATATATTTGTGTGTACGTGTGCGTATGTGTGTGTGCGTGCGTGTATAATAAAAATAAAAGTAGAATAAAATAGAGAATTAAAAAAAAATAATAATAATGAGAAGAAATAATTAATTTTTTTTTTTTTTTTTTTTTTTCTCTTTCTTTAAATAATAATTTGATTTTTAATTTCTTTTTTTCTTAAAATCAGTTCTTGCTTTAGTTTCTTTTTTCCTTTTTTTATTTTTATCGGCTGAATTTTTTAGTTATATTAACGGGGCTGGATGATAAGATCATGTCTTCTGCCAGCTCCGGTCGAAACTTTAATGTTATAATTTTTATGTTGTAAAAAACATTGTAAAAGATTATTCATTTAATGACGAAATAAATAAATAAAATAAAATAAATAAATAAAATCAATAGAATTGTGGATGTAAATGCTTACGCCACCACCTACGCAAACATCGCACATTTGATGAACTGATGCATAGTTTGTTAACTCAAAATTAGAATTTCATTCATTGCTTTTAAGCCAAGTTTCTATGAAACAAACTATTTCAAATTCATGATTAAGTTTCTCCAATAAATATTTGAAGCTCTCGAAATTTTTATTCATACTTCGAATATTATTATGCAAAATTAAAAATC